CCGAACCGTAACACTTTCTTCCACGGTGAGACTTTCAGAAACACCTTGTCATCAACATTGTATTCGATCTCCCGACGTTTTAAATCGGCATAAGATTTTTGTCGATCAGAAGCTACTTGCAGTCGTTCTCTAATTAGACGAACCTTTTCTTCAGTTTCGCGGACGAGATCAGGTCCTTCAAGCTTTTGCTCACTTAATTCTGTCCAGCATACCGGGGTTCTACAACGTCTCCCATACAAGGCTTCGTACGGGGCCATTTGGATACTCGCTTGATAACTATTGTTATAAGCAAATTCCATTAGTGGTAAAGGGTTAGTTTTCTCTCCGAGTGTCGTGTCTCTCGAGGAGTGGACGAAGGGAATTAGTTTAATTACTCTAACTACGTGAAGGCTTGGACAGGTTTATGAAAGTCTTCTTGGAACGAATAAAAAGAGATGAGTGAAAATAATAAATAAATTTCACATAGCATAAGTATAGATCTGGACCTACGGTTTGGACATCATTTGGATTTATTTTATGATATTTAATTAACAGTTGGAATAATAATATTTCTATTATTACTCATCCATTTCTAGATTTGTACTTAATCCGTTGCACTTGAATATCATAGCCATTCGGCTTACAATATTTTCTCAGTAAATGGCCAATTAAATCTTGCGAGTTTAATTAACCAAATAAGGCAAGAACAATGGACTAACCATTCCAACATTAATTTAACATCAAAAATAAACAACCAAACTAGTCCGGACCCAGAGATCAGGACCCTAACTCATACTATGCAAACATAGATTAAAACACCATTTTATTAAATAAAGGAAACTTACAACATCTGTAAAAGCGGAACAGAACTGATCGGGAGTTAAATCCTCCGGAAATACTCTAAAACTACTACTAAAACTAATATACAAAGTATTTTAAGCAATTGAGAGAGTGGAACACGAAATGGGTTGTAGAATGGATGGTAAAAATGAGAAGAATCGTGCTGTATTTATAGGAACGGAGCCAAGGAGTCCAAGTCAAAGCGTCCAAGTCCAAGCGTCCAGATATGGACGCCTGAGCTGTCCCGGCCGACTAGGTTTTGCCACATGTCATTCTTGGGCTGCAATCCAGCCAAAGCGTCCAAATCCCAAGCGTCCAATTTGGCCAAGCGTCCAAGTTGGACGCCTTAGGCCCTGGTCCGTTTGGGCTTTGTGGCTTATTCGTGATTTCGGCCCAATTTCACTCCGTTTTGGCACCGAACACTGTTTTTTACCTCTCGGAAGCTCGTTCAAATCCAAATCTTGATCCCTTGATGATTTATTCCTTTTTCTCAAGTATTTGAACATGAAATGGATGATTTATGATGATTTCAAGTGGAATCCCTTTTTATGACTCTTAGAACGAAAATGAGAGTTTTATTCATCGAAATCACATTATATAAGATGATTAAATATTATTTACGTGCAATAACGTTTAGAATATGATGTAAATGATAAGAACGAAACGGACTTATCAAATTTCTCACACTTAAACGTTGCTTGCCCTCAAGCAACAAATTGAATAATTACAAGTATAAAGGTAAATTAATAATTGCAGAGGAAAGGATTAAGCTACATATTATGAAGGAAAGAAGAAATAAGATAGTCATCAACCTTTTTGTTAAGAAGAAATGAACCTTTAGATTCTCACCCATATTGTTAGAAATGTAAAAGAATTTTGTCAAACCAATATTTTTACACCAACCTAAACAACCAAAATTTTCAAAACTTTCTTTGGGATAACTACATTTGTAAGAGTACTTTAAAGATCAAATAATTTTTTTAATGGCTAAATTGGAAAACATGTTCTTGCAAAAGTATTTGTCAAAGTGTAAGGGTCTAATTTTCTTTGGCATAACTTTGTCATGTTGACACGAGAAAAATTTATAACCTAATCCCGTGACATAGGACCACGAGCTTTTTGGATATTCACTCTCGAAAGTCTCATCACACGACATAGAACCGCATGCTTTTTGACTCTAACACTCAAAAGGCCTCATCACGCAATATAGAACCACATGCTTTTTGGCATACTCACCAAGCCTCATCAATTAACATAGAACCAATTGCTTTTTGGCTAAAACAAGAATCTCGGTCTCACCAAAGCATACTTTGAAACGTCACCCCTTTATACTTTGAAAATAACTCTCTTTAAGAAATAACAAATACTCAGAGCCTGAAAGATCGATGAGTATTTGCAAAAAGATTTTCAATAAAGCAACTAAAAATTGATTGATCTTAAAAACTCTTAATAAATTGTGAATTCACCCCAATTCATTTTAGAAAACATTCCCAAAAGGTTAGAGTAAAAATAGAACTTTGAAAAAAAATTTAAAATTTCCAATTTTTCGGGTGATAACTAAAGTTTTAATTAATCAAACAATTAAAATTAATGACTATTCTATAAGATCTTTTCCTAACAATACATAGACAAAACAATTCCTAAAAAGATCATTTCAACCACGAACTCTTACCTCCTCACACTTAAATGGAACCATGCCCTCGTGGTTAAGAGTGTTTTTGAATTGGAGTTAATGGTTGAAATGCTCACATGCAATTACTAAGTTATCTCAATACCTACAAAATTCAACAATGAAGATTGAAACTATAGATAACCATCACATTTAAATATGAAATAATGCATAAAATATTCTCAAAATGGTTTTAAGAGTAATAATGTGAAATTCCAAAATAAAAATCATCAAGCATCCAAATCATGTTCAAAATAGTATAGAAAAAGAGAATTTACTGAGGAAGTCAATATCCTCTCAGTAGCTAATTTCAACCAGGAATTCTGGATCAAGAATAATCAAGGGCTATAAAACCTTTGTGTTTACCCCACGTGCAGAACCTCTTCTTCGCTTCCTCTACAAGGTATTCCATACGGTTCTCCCATCTGCAAAAACAAAGACAACAAAACACAATAACTTTTGCCCCAAAACTGGTGCGGCAAGTAGAAACTCACAAATAATAAATAAAATCTATTTAATTATTTTAGTTATTTGAGTGACGGGTTGCCTCCCGTTAAGCGCTTTTTTAACGTCCGTAGCTTGACGCCTTAGCCACTTTTTCCGTGACTTTCCGATCCGAGAGTCATAAAGTTTAGCCCTTTTGACTCTCTTCTGATACCACCTTGTTTGAATTTTCGCTCGGTCAAGGTCCAGGATCCTTGACTCATCCCTGTGGCTTGGTGGCAACAGGATATATGAAGGAGACTTTGTATTGATTGGTGGTGGCGGAAGTCTCCTCAGACGATCCACATCATTTGCCTTTATGGCGAGATTGATTTCTTCTTTGTCTTCAATGGGCTGACTATCCATTTGTGGTTTGATGATTACGACCATGCTTTCCCCCATGGATGAGTCTTCAGTGTCACTTACCAGAAATTCATCCCAACTCTTTTGGCTCCAACTATCCTTCGGGCAGACAAAGTCACACCCGTCAAGTAGGGAGTCAAAGAAAGTTTGGTCTAAGTCTTCTGATGAAGCATGATTATCTATAGACGTTATTGGTTCCTCTGTGCTAGGTATTTCTTCGTCTATAGATTCCTCCTCAGACTCTTGAACATTGGTATCTTGAGGGCAGGTAATGGGCTCTATTTCCTCCAGAACAGGTTCCTCTAGAGGTGTGTCTTCAACACAATTAAGGAGATGATCGTTTATTGCTATAGGAAAAACTTCCTCCTCCTTTTCTTGAATGAGTGTAGGTGGTTCTAAGTCAGGTCCCTCAGTTGGTTCCACCTCATGTACGACTATGCTAGATGGGACTTGGCTAGGAGGACATTCAGGTAATATCACCACAGTAGCCCTAGCGAGAGTTGTTATGCTCTCAAGTTTATGTGATGGTGTAGAACTAGGTGAATCTTCTAGAACAGGAACCTGATGGTTGATGGGTTCAGGGTTGGTCTTAGGTTCTAGAGCCTCTTTTTGAACATTAATCTCCCTCATTTGATCTTGAGATTGGAGGGAGCGTTTAAGTTCAACAGCCTTGCAGAGATCATTGACTAATTTATCAGCTTTAGCATCAACTTCTAGTCTCTCTCTTTGGAAGCCGTCCAGCATTTTCTGCATCATTTCTGATCCTTCGCATAATCTCCTTCCGAACTCCCTTTCCTTCCGGACTGATTCGAGAAGTTTTGCTCTTTCTCGAATTGCCACCTTGTTTACCTCAATTTGTTCTTCAGCAAACAGGGTGTAGTCACGGCAGTAGGGTGGTTCGTACCAAGAGCCTTCAGCGAATAGAACTTCGTCGAAATAGAAAATTTTCTGTTCTAATCTTATGATTTCTTCGACGAGTGGATCAGATTGGTCTTCGTACATAGGCCCATATTGGTCATAATCATCTTGATCCCCATGAGTATAATAATTATCCCCATTAGTGTCTTGGTATCCAAAGTTCCTAGACGGGGTATCATATGGTGGTTCCTCATGGTAGGGATAGTAGTCAGACCCAATTTTGACTTGGTAGTCATCAGTATATGGGTTCTGATGTGGGTGATAAGGTGGGCGGGTTTGAAACGGATGGCGGTTAGGTGATTGGTAGTAAGAAGGCAGTCCGTAATAACCATTAGAGTTATCCATAATTATTACGGGTGGTTGGTGAAAAAGAAGTGAGAAGATCGTTCTAACCAATCTTCACCCAAGCTAATTAAAAGAAATTAAACTAATGTCGTGCCACTCCCCGGCAACGGCGCCATTTGACAGTTCTAGTTTTTCGGGTAGTAAACCTTCCCAGTAAAGGGTTAGTTTTCTCTCCGAGTGTCGTGTCTCTCGAGGAGTGGACGAAGGGAATTAGTTTAATTACTCTAACTAGGCGAAGGCTTGGACAGGTTTATGAAAGTCTTCTCGGAATGAATAAAAAGAGCTCAGTAAAAATAATAAATAAATTTCACATAGCATAAGTATAGATCTGGACCTAGGGTCTGGACATCATTTGGATTTATTTTATCATATTTAATTAACAGTTGGAATAATAATATTTCTATTATTACTCATCCAATTCTAGATTTGTACTTAATCCGTTGCACTTGAATATCATAGCCATTCGGCTTACAATATTTTCTCAATAAATGGCCAATTAAATCTTGCGAGTTTAATTAACCAAATAAGGCAAGAACAATGGGCTAACCATTCCAACATTAATTTAACATCAAAAATAAACAACCAAACTAGTCCGGACCCAGAGATCCGGACCCTAACTCATACTATGCAAACATAAATGGAAACACCATTTTATTAAATAAAGGAAACTTACAACTTCCGTAAAAGCGGAACAGAACAGATCGGGAGTTAAGTCCTCTGGAAATACTCTAAAACTACTACTAAAACTAATATACAAAGTATTTTAAGCAATTGAGAGAGTGGAACCCGAAATGGGTTGTAGAATGGATGGTAAAAATGAGAAGAATCGTGCTGTATTTATAGGAACGGAGCCAAGGCGTCCAAGTCCAAGCATCCAGATATGGACGCCTGAGCTGTCCTGGCCAACCAGGTTTTGCCACATGTCATTCTTGGGCTGCAATCCAGCCAAAGCGTCCAACTCCCAAGCGTCCAAGTTGGATGCTTTAGGCCCTGGTCCGTTTGGGCTTCGCGGCTGATTCGTGATTTCGGCCCAATTTCGCTCCGTTTTGGCCCCGAACACTGTTTTTTACCTCTCGGAAGCTCGTTCAAGTCCAAATCTTGATCCCCTGATGATTTATTCCATTTTCTCAAGTATTTGAACATAAAATGGATGATTTATGATGATTTCAAGTGGAATCCCTTTTTATGACTCTTAGAACGAAAATGAGAGTTTTATTCATGGAAATCACATTTTATAAGATGATTAAATATTATTTACGTGCAATAACGTTTAGAATATGATGTAAATGATAAGAACGAAACGGACTTATCAGTCACTCCCTCTGTGAGCCCCACTCGGCATCACCCAGATGAGGATGCAGACCCTGAAGGAGCCGGAGCTACTCCTGGTCGGTTAAGGGTCTTCCAGGGGAGTGAGCGACCAGCCAGGTGTGGTGGGGGAGAATCCAGTTCTTCCCCCACCACAACTGCTTGGTTAGGTTGCTCTGGCGAGTTGGTGCGACTCTCGTTAGTCCACTACTCCACACTTGTATAGTATGCTGCTTCATGCTACAAGAGAGGTAGGTGCTCATCTTGCACACTCTTCCAAGCCGCGTAATGCCACTTATGGGTTGGCAAGGAGTGTACCAGTCCACCTGTCTTGATGGTAGGCGGTTGGCTAAAAGTGCCCTGGACGTCGCGCTAAAGTCATCATAAGGGTTTGGTGGAATGGGCGGCGGCTAAACCGAGGGCCACCGCCGGCGAGGCAAACAGCGACAGAACTTGTAGGGGTCTAGCCCCCTAGTTGTTGGAATTAACAGACTTGGGGGAAGAGGCAGACTCCGGGGAAGACGGAGAAGGCCCATCGAAAAGGCTCAAGGAAGTAGGAACTTCTCCAGACACGGCGAGAAATCAAATGGAGCAAGGGGGCTTATAAAGAGCCCAGGGTGAAGAAATCGAAGGGACGGTCAAGTCCCAAGGCAGCTGAACCGATAAAGCAGCATCAAGCAGCGTGATGGTCCAATCAATTGCCTTAAGGAATGTTGTGGATCAATTGGGCGGCATGTCAACGGGCCATAAAGTTGGGCTTTGTCATGCAGGTGGGACAGAAGTAGAAATTGGGCTCGGGTTGGAGATTTATTCACACCGATGGAATGGGTAAATTTAAAGAAAAATGCGACAGCAAAGACCAAAATAAACAAAGACACACATCAATTGGAAGTAAATGGCGAACATTTGAATATCGTACTGAAATACCAAAATATTCAAAAAGCCACAGGTTTTTACAAGTCTAAAAGTAAAAAATGCAAGGAAAAAGGGGAAGTGGAGCGGATCAGCCGCCCGAGCTGGTGCCCTCGCCTGCCTTGGTCGTTGCAGGGTTTGCTCATCTTCCTCGTCAGAAGCGCTCAAACTTTCCTCATCCAAGTGAGGACTAGGGTCAAACTCGGCAAAGGCACCGCAGGGGGAGGAAAGCCAAGATCGGGGAGGGAGATTCCCTTGGGGAGCCAAGCTAGCTGGTCGCGGATAACCTGTTGGGCCCGGAAGAGCCCGCAGTTGAATGACTTCTCTGCCTCCCCAACCATCCATTTGGCTCCAGGTCCGGTCTTGAGCCACTCCACTACCAGCTTACCCATTCGCTCCGTAGCGACCGCGGTAAGCTGGGAGGGTAACCAAGGTCTCCAGCTGAACGTCTCCCAAACTTGGGGATGGGGGGGGGAATGCTAAACCTCGTCAAGCAACCCTCGGTCGCCATCTCGTAGGTCACTGTAGGTGGAGAGGAAGGTCGCTCCGAGATGGCCCTCTGAGACGACCCTACCAGGTCACCCCCAAGAAACATTGATCGCGACGGAGAGCTGGTCGCTACCATTCCCGTCTCCGGGGTCGCATCGTCCAGGTCCTCCACCTCGATCACAACCTAATCGACCTGGAGACAATCCTCACGGTGCGAGGAGGAGCGTTTGCTCTTGCCCTAACGGGCTGCATCTCCTTTCGGGGAGGTCCCTCAACATGTCGGGCTGGTGACGATGCTCGTCCTTAACAAACTCGAACCCAAGCTTTGCAAGAGACTCCTCGGTCACCATCGTTTTAATCTCGACGGCTCCTTGGCCGCAATGTTTTAGGGTGAGGGACAAGAGAGTGGCATTCGTCTTGGAGGACGGGACGCGAAGGATAGATGGGTGCCATGAACCCGTGAAAGGAGATTCAGGCCCTGTCGAGACAAAGACAAAAAAGGGCTTCCAGTCCTTGGTCGACCCTTTCTTGTCACTAGTGAAAAGTTTGCTAGATCGCTGGGAAAGGCTGGCATAAGATGCCCAATCCCCATGGCCTTTGGCCAGTTTGAAAGTAAAGAGGATATGGTTTAGGGTGGGCTCCACACCCGCTTCCTTGCACTCGATCAAATAACCGGTGTTGTACCGGTGGGAATTGGGGACCAGTTGGCAAGGAAGAAGGTCCACCTCGTTGAGGAACTGGATCAACAACGAGTGCAAAGGGAACCGCAACCCCTTCTTCAAAGAGGCCAGGTGAATAGTGAAAAACCCTGGAGGAGCATCTAGGGCGGTCTGGGTCCTAGTGGGCCGCTGGACTTCAATAGAGGGGCCAACCATGTCAGTGGCGTCGGCGAACCCACGGTCATTGACCTGACAATGGCCCAGAGCCTTGATGTTCTCCTCTAGTTCAACCCTCTTGCCTTTCAGTACCGGGGTCGAGGAGGGAAATTGCTTCCTCAGCCGGCGAAGCTTTTGGCCGGGCACTGCCGCCGACGACGATTGAGGAAAACTGGACTGGCCCTGGTCTTGACCAAGGGCCGAATGATCGGCTTGACGAGAATGGGACGATGGAGAGGCCGAGTCAGAATCAGAGACAATCATGATGGCAGAGGGAGAACTGACCTGTAGAGTGAGAAAAAACGGGTCGGGTAGCGGCGAACAAACGAGCGAAGAAACAAGTGTAGCAGGTGGAGAAAAATGGCGTCCAGCGGCGGTTTTATCAGAGCGGGGTCGAAGGCGAAGCAGCAAGCCATGATTGTTTTTAGTGGAGATCATTCCAACCGTCACACGAAAACCAAGGAACGGCTCGGATCCGTTGAGGAGGCGCCCACGTGGACTTCGTAAACTTCCCATCCCTCAACGTGGCCCGACTGAGGAATGAGGAGTTGGGGGGCTTGTGACGGACTGGTACGCAGCGGGTAGCCCAAACACCATACCCGGAAGGCGCTGGGCCACAAGAGCTAAGGTGTATTAAATCTGGACCGGCCCAAGACGTTGGGCCCAAGCCAATCCAAACAAGAAGACAACTGGAAGAGTCGATCCCCGGGAGGAGATTTAGCGGAAGGCGGGGACGTAGCCGATTAGTCACCTTTGATTATGAACTACCTTAATTACCCTAGACACCATGTATAAATAGAGAGGACCCGAATGGGGATCCTCAAGCTGAATCAAGCTAATAAAACCTATAATTCTCGAATTCTTGTTCTATATAATTTCTTTCGATCAGTTCTTCTGAATCAGATCATTTGATGGATTTATTGTCCATCAGACATAAAAATCATGAAGTGTCCTTGAAATATCATACCTTGGTATTCTAGTAGTGGATATCCTTCATCGAGATAATCCCAAACAGCTTCTTTTTATTTAGATCCATCTTTAGAGTTGACAATTCTTTATGTAGGTTTCATACTTCAATTCAGAAAAATAATGCATTCACATGAGTAACAAAATTATCACTAATAACACAAAGACATGTATAAATAGATCTAGAATTTGAAGAAGGCTCATTCCACATGGAGTTTATAAGCTAATCTTGTATGTTTATATGCTTTATACTTTCAATTCATTCAAACAAGAAGGCATGGTATTTATTTTTAGTTTAATCATATCTCTTAACTATAAGTAAGGAGCCTAAAATAATTTATCACTCGTCATCCGAAAAACATTAGATTTATTAGACTTGCACGAAGATTGCAGCGGCCTTGAAGTTGATCTCATATCGCTTGTCTTTGGTTTCTAAGATTGAAGCAACCAACTCTAGGTAACTGGAGTCAACCAAAACTAACGTTTCTCTCCTACTTCTTCCCCAAATCAACCCATATTCATAACGTTTTTTGAACTTGGTACAATGTAGCAGCCAAAGGTGTAACGCCCTCAAACCGGCCTAGTTTTAAATAAATAAATATTATTTATTTATTGAGACTCATTATTTTAAATAAATAAATATTGAGATTTTGATCTCTTTAAATGGCTTTCCAAAGCTAATGTATTTTAATATAAAAAGATGTTTTAATAACGGACCTCTCAACATTAGTTAAATAAATAAATTAATGATTGGGGTGGACCCGGAAGTTTGAAAATAAAGTTCTTAGAAAAATTATTTGAACATGTCATTAAATTCGTTTTGACTGTCTGATTCCAAAAACACAAGCGGATCTCAATACGGACCCGTTCGGGGGAAAAAGCGTGTACCGTTCAGGTCAGATTTTACATAACGGAGTAAAATAAATATTTGTAACCTCCACCATCCATACGTCCAGCCCATGCTCTTCCATTTCCCAAATTCAATTCCCCATTAACTCTCATAACTCACCATCATTATAAGATACACTCCCCATTCTCATCATCACCATTTTTGTAACCTCCCATTACTAACTCATCATCACCCTCCATCTTCTTCCCCAATTCGGCCAAGGCAACAAGCGTACCCAAGGAGGATTCCGGCGGGTAGACAGGGAGGTAGAAGAAGAAGGTTCACGCAAGAAGTTTGTTCGCTCGTTTGTTCATTCATCGTCATCCATTCGTTCATCTCGTCCTATCATTCCGTCAACTCCGTCAACTAGAGGTGAGTAGTTGTCCCATCTAATTCTAGAACATCAAGTTATAATCTATGTCGTTATATTCATAGGAATATCGTACGCAACCTACGTAGAATCTATGCATGTTCGTAGGTTAGCCATCAAAATGTTCACTACCTAAAAATTGTATATATTGGCCTAGGAATCACTAGGAATATATTCATAAATGTTTACATTATTGTTCTGAAAAGAATCAAGGCGTTAGGTTCACAAAACGGATCAAAACGAAGCCAAAGTCAGTGGACTGTCTACGGGACGGTCGACCGCCGCTAATGACGGTGGACCATTTCCCTTGACCGTCTGTCGGCCACCACCGTAACGGTCGACCGCCGGCCGCGACGGAAGACCACGGTAGACCGCCGGCATTCCAGTTCTCTACAACGTAGCCCACGGTCGACCGCCGGTAGGGTACGGTCGACCGTTTCCCGGGCAGTTTTTCTGACAAATTGTAGAACGAGCCCCGTTGACCATATTGACTCAGAATCTGATTGTATGTTTGTTTAAAATGTTAATCTTCATTATTATGTTATTTAATTGATATATTCTTCGCGTTGACCAAAGGTAAATATATCAAGCATTCATCATGTTCATTCTAGACGCATGTCCTAGGTTTATCATCATGTGCATACCACTGTAGGGAGGTCAGGCTTTCGTGCGCCTACTATAGTGGGCCCGTCCAGGAACCTTTGGGATCCAACGGGTTTTCATCAGGTGGGCTTTGTGTACGAACATGGTAGTCAGGCTGCGGCTACCACACAGTTTTGCTAGTTCACTTGCGACATTTCCGTCGAGCCCGGCTCATTACCGGAGTGCAGGGGTGATCCTGTCAAGTGAGACTAAGCCAGGGGTGTCCCTGATAGTTTAAGTCATGCATCAAGTCATATCGTCATCATGTGGGTTCCATGTCATGTCAACATTCAATGTGGTCGTCATCATCATGTATGTTCCACGACACATCAACATTCAATGTGGCTGTTATTCATTTTGTTATGTGTAATAATATCCCATCAAGTGCAAATTAATCAGTTAGTAAACATGTGATTTTCCGTACGTTAAGTACATGTATTAATATGTGTATAATCATATGGGTTATCACGTCATGTTCTTTTGTTAGATTCACTCCTCAGCTTTTGCTGAGCGTGTAGTTGTTTTTGCTACACGCAGGTAGACATGACGGTACAGGTGCCAACCCTGGAGGACAGTGATGATGGTAAGATGGGCGGCGCACGGATGAGTTTAATAATTATAATCATTTGAATTAATCAATCATTTGGGCAAGAACCCACCATTTGTCGTTTTACTCATTTTGGAGTTATTTATTTACTTCCACTTTTACTCTGCATTTATATCACACACGTTTTGGAGATAACTCCCTAGCATTTATTTTACCAATTAATCACAACCGTTTTCAAAATAAATGGACATTAATGTTCTTTTCTCTACGGACGGTTCTCGGACCGCCCATGTAACCCTACCGGTCCGTTGGGTCNCACGCAGGTAGACATGACGGTACAGGTGCCAACCCTGGAGGACAGTGATGATGGTAAGATGGGCGGCGCACGGATGAGTTTAATAATTATAATCATTTGAATTAATCAATCATTTGGGCAAGAACCCACCATTTGTCGTTTTACTCATTTTGGAGTTATTTATTTACTTCCACTTTTACTCTGCATTTATATCACACACGTTTTGGAGATAACTCCCTAGCATTTATTTTACCAATTAATCACAACCGTTTTCAAAATAAATGGACATTAATGTTCTTTTCTCTACGGACGGTTCTCGGACCGCCCATGTAACCCTACCGGTCCGTTGGGTCACAGGTGAACCGGGTCCACAGAAGGCGGGTGTTACAATTTGGTATCAGAGAAGTTCGGTTCTTGTGAAAAAAAAATATTAAAAAAAACATATTTTGTCATCTTAGTCAAAGGATATTTTCAAAAGTCCACAGCCGCATGTCCCATCACATCACTCCCAGGGAAAGGTACACCGTTATTTTATTCATTTATATGTCATATTGTAATTAGTTCTGATTTATGCTCTTCTTATAGATAATGAGCCAAGCAGTAGGCAATGACGGATAGGTAGATCCACATAGGAGTGCCTGAGCACGTGAGCGCACAATGAAGCGTCAAACTAATTGTGTTATGCGCTCACTTGTTCCCATTTTGATACTCTTCAATTGTTAGATGAGTACCATTAGTACCAGAAGCGTGTCAAGCGTTGACTCGAGTCGAACCTTCGTGCTTGGCAAGAGACGAAAGAACAAGAGGCAAAGTTATGACTCGAAAGAGCGCTATCAACGTGCACATCGCAAGGCTCGGATAGTAAGGCTAAGGATCTGGAAGCGCCGGAAGGCAGCATGGGAAAGAGATGATCCCGAGGAAACGTTCAGCGTGGTCTCTGCCAACAGTATCTGTGGCGTAGGTGTGGATATTCCTCCAGTGGACTCAGCCCGACTAGACGAGTGAGTTACGTGCTAACTTATGACATAGTCGAGGCTGTAAACGATGCAACATTTCGTCCCACTTATCTAAACCAAATATGTTCCTTGAACGGAATCCGTCAATTGGTCTTTAATCCATTATGCCCTCATATGCTTCACAAAATAAAGTTTTGGGTAACGCACTATCTCCTTAAACACGTGATGTGTGACTTGAAGAGAATTTCGGGGACGAAATTCCTTTAAGGGGGGATAACTGTAACGCCCTCAAACCGGCCTAGTTTTAAATAAATAAATATTATTTATTTATTGAGACTCATTATTTTAAATAAATAAATATTGAGATTTTGATCTCTTTAAATGGCTTTCCAAAGCTAATGTATTTTAATATAAAAAGATGTTTTAATAACGGACCTCTCAACATTAGTTAAATAAATTAATTAATGATTGGGGTGGACCCGGAAGTTTGAAAATAAAGTTATTAGAAAAACTGTTTGAACATGTCATTAAATTCGTTTTGACTGTCTGATTCCAAAACCACAAGCGGATCTCAATTCGGACCCGTTCGGGGGGAAAAGCGTGTACCGTTCAGGTCAGATTTTACATAACGGAGTAAAATAAATATTTGTAACCTCCACCATCCATACGTGCAGCCCATGCTCTTCCATTTCCCAAATTCAATTCCCCATTAACTCTCATAACTCACCATCATTATAAGATACACTCCACATTCTCATCATCACCATTTTTGTAACCCCCCATTACTAACTCATCATCAAGTCTCCATCATCACCCTCCATCTTCTTCCCCAATTCGGCCAAGGCATCAAGCGAACCCAAGGAAGATTCCGGTGGGTAGACGGGGAGGTAGAAGAAGAAGGTTCACGCAAGAAGTTTGTTTGCTCGTTTGTTCATTCATCCTCATCCATTCGTTCATCTCGTCCTATCATTCCGTCAACTCCTTCAACTAGAGGTGAGTAGTTGTCCCCTCTAATTCTAGAACATCAAGTTATAATCTATGTCGTTATATTCATAGGAATATCGT